CATTGGAATGCCGTGAAGTAGATTTTAAGATATCTTTGTGGTACTACTAATTTAAAGTTGTGTTTTGGGATTAAGAAGTCTATTCTCAGTGGTTTTATAGATTCTTATTTGGCAGGGGATACAAATTTAAGAAAATCTAATTCTGGGTATCTTATTACTTTTGCAGGGGGAGCTGTGGCATGATAATCTAGGTTACAGAAATGTATTGCATTGTCTATTACAGAAGCTGAGTTCATTGCAGCGACTGAAGCATGCAAAGAATTGCTCTTGATGAAGAAGTTTGTGAATGAGCTTGACTTTACACAAAAGAGATATGTCTTATTTTGTAACAGTCAGAGTGCAATTCATCTTGGTAAGAATCTTATTTTTCATGGTAGATCCAAACATATTGATGTGATATATCATTGGATTCATAATGTTTTGGATTCTAAATAGTTTGAACTTGAGAAGATATACACTGATGATAACGGTTTTGATATGTGCATAAAGGTTTTACCAATAGTGAAATTTGAAACATGTAAAGTGGTTGCTGGTTTGGCAAACTCCTCCACATAATCGGGAGGGGGAGAATTGTTGGGTTTTGGGTTCCCTCCTATGTGGAAAATGTCAAATACTTTTGAGTTCACTTATTTTTTAACTCATTAAGGTTATTAAATTTTTTTTTTGGGTATAGCACTTTAACCCTAAGGAATAGTATAAAAATAAGTTTTTAGCCACCAAAATAAAAAGTGAACAGAAAAGGGAATTTTTGCTGAAACATTACATCCAACGTATTTTGCTTTTTTCTACGATATGGCAACGATCTTTATTCGGATCAGGCTGAAATTTGGTGCGTATTTGGAATACTCATTATTCTTCATTTTGAACGATGAAGATCAATTTTCGACGGTTAGATTTTTAGTACTTTCAGTTTGAAGTTACTATTCACGTTTTTATTCCCCTCACCGATAAGTTTGACTTTCTTCGATGATAGAATGATCATTTGTGTTCTGATGAGGTTGAAATTTGGTGAGTATGTTCGGGATAAGTTGTTCTTTAATCTGAATAGTGGAGATTAGATTTGAACAATTAAAACGCATCCGCTTCGTATGAACCGTAATTGCTTTGGTGATATTTCTCAATTTCCTTATTTATTTCTTGTTGTTCGCTTGATTTATCGTTGAGTATTTGTTTGATGATTATAGTAGTTGCTTATTTTTACTGTAAATACTAATTTTTATGGTGGAGCTCATTTTTACTTACATTAGGAGAGATCCTGTGGTTTTTATTCTTCATATTGAAGAGGTTTTTCACGTTAAAAGTTTTGGTATCTTTGTGTGATTGTTTTTGAGCATCTTAGGGCAGATTTTATCATATTTATTTTGGTTTAATCTTTACTTAGTTTTCACTATTCATAGATTCATTTAAGGGCTTCCCTACAACTAACAAGTATAAAATGCATACAAAATGTGCAAAGGGACTAAGTCTTCCTATTTATAAACTAGTAATATATTTATAAATAACATATGAAGGGAAATTATTGTTAGACTCGAACAATAATAGTAATTCTGACTAATTGTTGCACAATTGTTAGACTTATTATGATATACATATTCTCTAACTTTTTAGAGTTTTCTCCAGCTACAGCTTACGTTACAGACTCTTCCAACTTGTTTTATAAAATTTATTATATTTTAAAACAATTTTATATACCATAATGCTTTTTTCTCAAGAAAATGACTCCTTTATTATTTTATTTGTTTTTAAGCTAAAATAGTTATTATCATCCTTAACCTTTGAAAAACGTTCGAATTATATCATAAAGCTCTTTTTTGTTTAAATTAACTTTCAACGTTTTAAAAATATTCAAATATCCTGTTTACGTCCTTACAAGTTTGTACATGTTATTAATAACGTATGAAATTTTAAACCAATGGATGCCATGTCCATGACATGCGGTTTCTACCTATAGTCATTCAAAACAATGGACCCCTTTTCCATTTGTGCCATAGAGGCATGTTTGAGAACCAGTTTGCAAATAAAAAGTCTTGTTGTCCTCTACCATTTTTCCGTCCTTCCACCGTCGGCTTCATAGTGGGAGAATCTTACTGTTTCGCCCATTGGTTGATATATAAAAATACTAGTTATCGCAATCACAAATTTGCGAACCATATAAAAGTAATCTTATTGCCTCGTATAGATTGCGTCGTAATCTTTTTATCTACATCATAACATTTTTTTTTCCTCTATTTTGGTTGTTTGTTTTTTACTACTTTTGTATATGATTCAATATTTTTTTATTTTCTAAAATATTTATTTTAATTGTATAAATTTAGTAGTACTTAAAAACTTTGTATGCCTTTGTGTCTATTGTACTTATAATTTATGCATGCCGTACGAGTGGAATGTAATTAAGTTTGTCAATATTGTACAGTTTAGCATGGTGAATTTTTTTTTTTTCCCCACACTATGTAGTTTATATGCTGGAGTTGACTATGACATTTGCATGCACTTTATTTATTTTTATTATTTTCCTTGTTGTTTTAGTGAGAAAATAGAAACAATAAAAAAGAAAATATAACTTTCACCTTATTAAATACTGCTCGTATGAAAAATCACACTATAAAAGTAAAACAACTAATGGTGACAACGATTGCAAAGAATCCAATAGCGATGTGGTGAGGCTTTTTTGATATTTTCGACGATTAAATCGACGGTGGAAGAACAATGAAGATGGTGGAGGAAGAAGGCAAGGCAACAAGGCTTTCCAACAAGGAAATCGATGGTGGAAGAACAAGAAAGATGATGGAGGATGGCGAGACTCTTACTGGTAAAGGGAGGGGGTTCTCAAATGTGCCTCTAGAGCATATAGATGAAAAGAAATCCATACGGACACTACATATCATGGATGTGGCGGCACCTACATAAACTTCAAATTTCACAAGTCATCATGGTAAATACAAACTTCTAATGGTATCATTAAGTAATATCAATATTTTGAAAAATTAGAATTTGATTTAAATAAAAATAATAATTTTAAGAATTGGGAGTTATTATATTATCTGGGGCTTGGCGTCGTAGGCTTCGAGCTGGTCTTTTTTAAGTAATAAAATATTCAAATAAAAACTCAAAAGACTGTGTAACTTGGGAAGAGGGTAGGTTCTGAGAATGATGTGATGGTGATGATATTCAAATGAAATTTAATAATAAGGTAAGTTGAAAAAAAATATTCAAACAACATAGGAACCAATTTTGTTTTTTTTTTTGTTCATAAAATAAATTATCATTAATTTTACATTTATAATTATCACATCGGCGTATTACTTTATTTATAAATTTATATATTATAAATATAATCTAGTGACTAAAATTTTAATTAAATTTTATTCTAATAGAAAATTATAGAAAAATATAATTTAATGAAAATAGATATTAAAATAAATATTAGCAGCAA